CCTCTTCACTTTGCTGCCGCTAAAGGCCACAACGAGGTTCGTTTCTAATTAGCTGCAATTTGATTTTATAAGCCTTTTTTTTGCATTTTTATTGAAAATCCATTAACCATTTTAACGAGTGGTCTAGTTAATCATGTGCATTTTGGTAAAAAAAAAAAAAAAAAATTTGGCGCATTTTGCGTTGGCCTCTTTGATCTTCGTTTTGGGAATTTTCAGATTGTTGCATTGTTGCTTGAAAACGGAGCTGATGCGAATTCGAGAAATTATTGCGGTCAGGTATTAAATCTTGACTAATTTTGCTGCTTCTTTTTGTTTCCCAATTGACACTTTTTAGTTGATTGCTGCTATAGCTATTTTTTTTTTCCAATATTATCAGATAAATTGGCGGATCTGTTAAATTTCTTCTGGTTATTTTGCTTTAGACGGCATTGATGCAGGCGTGTCGGTATGGCCATTGGGAAGTTGTTCAAACTCTTCTTCTCTTTAGATGCAATGTGAGTTTTCATTTTTGCTGAATAATTTCTCCATCACACCCTCTTCCTGGCCCCCCTTTTCCAAACATGCACTTAAGAAAATTTGAGAAATAACTGATGAATCTCCTTAGACTGAGCTTTGCCAGGTGGAATTAGGTTGGGGGTGTGGTTGGCTTCAAAAATATTTACATTTGCATCTTGAGAATTTTTACCTGAACTTTTATCTAAACTCCACTAAATTATGTGCTTCATTTTTTTTTTAGGTCACAAGAGCAGACTATCTTAGTGGGAGGACAGCTCTTCATTTTGCGGCAGTGAATGGGCATGTAAGATGTATGAGACTTGTTGTGGCTGATTTTGTACCAAGTGCTCCTTTTGAATCTATGGAAACTCAAAAAATTGGTGATACAAACGATGTTTCAATTGTAAAAAGCAAGCACGAACAAAGGTGCGTCTCCTTAACGTTCTCCTTTTGTCTTCTTTTTCTTCTTCTTCTTCTTCTTATTACTATAAGGACATCATCAGTCTTCTTCTTTGTATCTTAAGATTAATGGGACCGATCAAGCTACAACTGTTCTTCTCCATTCTTGAACCGAAGAAATTTCTGAGTTGTGGGATTATGATGGTTTCTTGCTAATATGTGTGTAACAACTTGGGATGAAAGGGAGTTCTTGAAGAAGAAATACATAAAAAGAGCGGGGTTCTTGGACTTTTATTTTCTATTCTTCTTTTTTATGCTTATGAGAAGGTGCACTGTCAAAATTATGTTGGTATATGTTCAAAATATTGATCATGGAGCCCTTAGAGAAGGAAACAGAACTAACTGGGCTCTGCAAATAGTATTCTTCAAAGAATGTACTGAATGTACCAATTCATGTTAGTAGGAGCTCCACACAACAAACTGTGGTTGTTCTGGTTTATTTATTTATTTATTTGTTTTTTTTTTTATAGTGCACTGTCGAAGTTTGTAAATAAAGCTGCTGATGGTGGAATTACTGCACTCCATATGGCTGCGTTGAATGGATATTTTGATTGTGTACAGCTGCTTCTTGATCTTCATGCCAGTGTCTCAGCTGTGACGTTTCATTATGGAACTTCAATGGATTTAATAGGTAGTTTGCTCCCTATAATGTTAGGGATGTATCTTATTGTCAGCCACATTGTGATTCTTACTAGTGGTTGGTGTTTATGTATTGCCAAACATTTGATTTGTAGGAGCTGGAAGCACTCCTCTGCATTATGCTGCTTGTGGGGGGAATTTAAAGTGTTGTCAGGTGATGATTAGTTCTTCCTTGACCATCTCTATTTTGTGGTGCTCTAGTTATATTTAGATCGGTTTTCTTTTTCTGCAGATCCTCCTTGCAAAGGGTGCCAATAGGATGACATTAAATTGCAATGGGTAATTTATTGAGTATTATTATTCTTACTTTAGATCATCGAGCATTTTATAGTAATTATTCCCCATCTTTTGCATTTCTTTTGTTGCCCTGCTTGATGTATACATGATTTCTTTCAGCTGGCTCCCTCTTGATGTTGCCAGAATGTGGGGTCGTCACTGGCTTGAACCACTTTTGACTCCAAATTCAAATTCAATAATCCCAGTTTTCCCCTTTTCTCATTATTTATCACTTCCTCTGATGAGCGTGCTCAACATAGCAAGGTAATTACTGAAATTTGCACTTTTTTCTTGTGAGGTACTGCAAAATCAGTTTACTGGTCACTGGTCTTATTGCAAGGTGGTAAATTTTAATTTTGGTTCTCTAATATATGTGTGGCAATACCTTTCTATTGTATATGTTTTCCTCTACAAGTTCAAGCATTTTACTATTTCAGAGCATGCTTGAAAAGTTAATTGATCTGTGTGATAAATGATGAGAATGGTTTTGAGTTCTTAGAAAGAACTTTAAGTAATTCAATTAGCTTGATTATTTGCCAAATTTGCAGAGAGTGTGGGATGCAGATGTCAGCAACCCCTTCTGATGATGGCGATACGTGTGCCGTTTGCCTTGAAAGAGCATGTTCATTAGCTGCTGAAGGTCTTTTCTCTCTCTTTTGATTTCCCTTTCACTTACATTATAGAAGGCGTGCTGTTTGATTTGTTCTAGTTTTAGCTAATGGATAGCCTACCTAACCTATAGAGATAACTCCTGTCCCGTCAACTCTAAAGGATGAGATTTTTAAAAAAAAATTTTAAGCAGGGGAAGAGTGGGATTTAAGAAGCAGGAAGAGGGGTGGGGGATTAGAAGTCAAGAGCTCTAATTTCTAAGAGTCGATTCCCCATAACTAAAAGTCAAATAGTTCCTGTTTCCACAATTATTTGAAAGATGAGAGTGCACATCCTACCTTTGGGTCTTCACCTCTGCTTTTGTATTGATCGTTGCTCACGTTTATGCCAAAATGATAAAAATTTTCCCAGAGATTTTTGAAGTTTTTCTGAGCATTGATTTCTGTCATTCTTCTTGTGTTCCGAAAATCTATTATTCTTGTACCATTTCCAGGGATAAATTTGCTAAAGCTTGCACGTGAAATTAGGAAAACCTTCTCATCATTGCCCTTTGTCCGTCTTTGTGCAATATCATGTTTGCAATTGTCTTTAGAAGTAGGTCCTACACTGATGTTGGAATCTTTCCTTTTCTAACTGCAATTCATGCCTCAATTTGCAACACTTTGACATTTCTAGCTATATGTAGGAAAGCAGCTCTATGTTTGTGTGATTATAGACATTTTAGCAGTAAGAAGGATCGGGGCGCTACTCTGAAGCAATATATGTGTTATACACAAAAAAGTAGTTGTGATATATATGCACTACATTGGAGTTTTTTGGGTTACTTGTATTTTATGCATGCTACTCGTGTGTAGAGGGAGAACATTTTTTTTTTCCTGGTCATGATCAATTAATTCTGGACCTGGCCTCTGGTGTGTACTTTTTAGGCTGTGGGCATGAACTTTGTGTTAGATGTGCACTCTATCTTTGCTCGACAAGCAACATTCCTTCCGAATTGCTGGGTCCACCTGGTTCTATTCCTTGCCCGCTTTGCAGACATGGTATTGTCTCTTTCAGTAGACTGCCTGGTACCCCTGCAAAGGAAAGTAAATTGCATCTATCTCTGGGCTTATGTACGCCTTGCATGCTACATCCACGAGAACAGGAGCAGTCAACACCTTCTGGGTCACAGGATATCAGAAAGAACCGTGTAGTTGCTGTTTCATCAGATCTTTTCTGTCCTGTCACTTGTAGTCCATTTCCTTCAGTTGCTATTCCTTTGTGTACATGCAATGATGGGCCTTGCCCTAATTTTGAAGCTGGAGAAAATCAAACGCAAGGAGATTCTCCTACTCCCTCACAATCCGCATCAGTTGATTCAGACAAATTGGAGGCTGTGAGATTGGGAAAGGCAACCTGTTCAAGCATGTTTTGGGGCAGAAGGAGCTGCAGCAGGGAGCATCGATGTAATGCAGAAATTAACGCTTGACTGGTTGATGACACCTGCCTTCTTCTCTGGCAATAAAATTTTGATTGTAGGATAGCGGTTCATCGTGGCAGCAAGGATGGATGTCGTCAAATCTCAAAACACTGATTCTTCTAAAATGTGTGGTTGTGGCCTCTATACCTTGTCAAGTTCGAGCTAGTCAGTCTGGCTTCATAATTTGTTATTGCCGTGGTTGTAAATGTAGATCCTTGGTTTTTTTTTTTTTTTTTTTTTTTTTAGGGGAGGGGTTGCCCCAAGTTTCCTGATTGAAGCATTGGAAAAAATGCGAGAGCCAGCAAAGATGTACCCATGTATTTTGGGAATTATGTGAAGGATGGTACTTCAGAAAATGTGTAAACTACAACAGAGAAGATTGGGAGTTTATATGTATCGTCAGAGATTGCCAGTCATCTTGGTTATAAACGTGCTTTCATCAACTGTATTGAACTAGTCTGCCCTGTTGGCCAAGTTAATAAGTATCTTCTGCTTGTGCTGTTGAAGTTGGCAGAGTTGTTCACCATGGATCTTCGGTCTTAGCAGCGGAGAATTGTCGATCAAGGGATTTCTGGCAATAGTATACATATATATATATAAAAATAGAAAGCCTGCTGTAACCTTTTAACAAATAATGCTCTTAGGTAGCAAGCTCCAAATGGGAGGAACAAGTTCTTGCAGATAACATTAGGTGAAAACATTCCAAATTAATGACCAGATGGGAACGTACGCTGCCAATGAAATATATACCAGATGCAGTTTCCTACAGTGACGCTTAGATTGAGCTCGTCTTTTTCGTTAATGCGTTGAACAAAGATTTGGTACGTAGGGGACCACATTGCAATTTTTTTTTTTTTTTTTTTTGGAGGAACCACAATACTGCAACTCCAATTAAGTTGCAGAGATCCCGATGATCATCCCAATGGTGATGGTAGTCTTTTCCCACATGTAAATAGCATATCAATAGTTGTGCATTAATAAGGGGAAGGGAGTTCAGTTGAATGATGGTAATAACAAAGCGCTAAAGGTGAGGATGACTTTTGTTAATTGGTACTATTACTGTAGTAGAAACGTGTAGAAAATCTGACACGCAAATTCTTCTTCAACAATAAGTACTCCCAGTGATACTTCCCCAGTGAGTGGAAAGGTTTATGTATATATATTATATATGTAGCATAGGAGCATGGCCGATGGAATAACATAAGATAATTTGCCCGCTGACTCTGAGGGAGAGGGGGGGGGGGGACCTTCAAATGAAGCTCTGCTGCTCTCATCTCATCTTCTTCTTGCTGCTGTTTCTCTTTGGGCGTTGAAGTAGAGAGCAGCCACGGGTGATCCCAACCCATTCTCTTCAGCGAAGCTTCTGGTATTGAATTGGTCTCTAGTAGCTGGTGGCTTCACCGCCTGGCGTGCCTTCTGCTTGTACAGGATAAACACATAGCGATGGATGCCGATGACTGGCTTAGGGGTCTCGTAGCTCGCGATTTCTCTTCCTGTTGTAGTTGTTGTTGTTGGATCAAAATCATGCCAAGTTAAACTAGTTTAACTACCTACCTATAACCAACCTCTCCCTCCTCTCATTGAGCCATCAGTACGAATAAAAGAGCCAAAATACTGATCTGCGCAAAATGTTTTGGTTTGAAAAACTTACCAAAAGAGGTGTCAGTGGTTCCAGGAATGTCGGTAACAATCCTACAAAATAAGAGATGGATGCATGTAAAGCACTACACATAAAATAAGGAAGTTATATATATTGTTCGAAACGAAGAGAGAGAGAGAGAAAAAAAAAGAACTGTGAAATAAAAACGTTACTAACCAATGAAGATGTTCCCTCAAATATGGATCACTAGGGCCAGGAACATCGGGGTCGGTCATGATCTTTAAGAAATGCACAAAAGAGGCAAGAAAGATCAGAAGCAAATAAGAGAGCACAATGCAGCTAGCTAGGACACATACGTAAGGAAAATGGGGGGGCATAAGAAGGACATATACGTACGAGGGTAAAAGCATCACGCATGTCTTGGCCACCAACCTCCACCCGAGGTTTAGCAACAATGACAGCAGGCATGAGCTCGTGCCCGTTGCACACTTGCTTGTTCCCATTGTAAGTAATGTTCATTTTCACGCTTGGAGTGAAGTTATCTACCACCTCTCCTATAACTCTCCCCACAGCAAGTGGTTCCAGGAGCCTCGACATGTCGAAGCTAGACAGACTATATAAGGTATGTCGATCGCGAGTCTTTACCATGATCCTGTGGCCTTTTATAGATGAATGACGCACTTGAATGTGGAGGGCTTGGCTTACAAGTTTTCAAGATTCCGGCACATTTTAGCATTCCATGAATAGTTGTGCAAATCCTATATATAGCAAAAAGAAAAAAGGGATTGAGTTTTTATATACGGCTCAAAATGAAACAACTTTCGAATTCAGACAAAATCTTGTTTAAAATGGAAAGCCGAGTACCGCCTACAATTAATTTTGTTGCTTCAACAGTTCCCCGGTTCCACTCAGAGTTTGAACTCCTTTTTATTATTGTCATTGATAGATGCTGCATCATTGATAAAATGGTCGGGGCCTCCTGCAGAGAATCTATGATGGCTTCAGCTTAATGGCTCAATTGGAATGAAGAATACTTGCTTTTTTTTTTTTCTGATTTTAATACAATATCATGGACAAAGGGGAATTAGGCTTTTGTGGTGCTTCTCTCAATACACCTGACCGGAAAACCCAAAAAAATATCTTATCAACAACTTCGGAAGGTGCACTTAACTCTTCATTCGATTAAGACAGGCCGAAGAGAGCAACTACACTGAGGCATTCCCTTGGAATTCTAGATTTTATTAGCATTAACATCTAATAATGTGCTAATCATCATCATGACTAGGTGATCCAATTCCTGTTAGCTTCATGAGATTCTTTGTTATAACCAATAAACTCATGATACTTAGGTTGTTGCCAAGTCAAACCAAGGAAATCGCGTGCCACCGTACAATAAAAAATCTATGCTCCACAACTCGAGTGCATCGCTTTGAGGGAAGCCATTCCTCTTTCAGACAATATGTATTCACGTACACATCGCAGATGGTTTTAAAGATCATCAAGAATCTTCCGTCATTGTATAGTAGGAGTACTTGTTTGCTTGGAATTGTTGTTTTGTAAGTCAAATTTGGATAACTATTTAAACTAGCTCTCAGAACCCCAAGGATATATATTTCTGCGCACTTGCATGCTTTAAATTCACTCGTAACTATTTGGTGATGACCAGAAAAATTTTGTTTAATGCTTATATCTTCAACCATCACACTAGTTTCAGGTGTAAATGTATAATTTTATAGTAGTAGTAACGTATTTTGTAATTTATGTGCGACTCTTTCTTTGTATTTTGGTGGAAAGAATATTGTAGTGAAAATAAATCGTACTTGAAACAGGTGGTTAGCGTATTGCTAATATTAATAAAAGATCACAAATTAGACTTGTTCATGTAACGCCTTGAAAAGTTTTGAGCAAGCCTTCAACTCCGAATAAGAGTCAAACTCTACGAGCGCCCCTATATATGCAGATTCAGATTAACAAATTTTTGTTCCTTTCCTCGAGAGCGGAGGCGCGGTTGTAGCTTCCTACCACCGCCCGGCACCCGACCGTTCTTTATGTAACATTGAACGAACATTACTTGTCATTTGCGAGTGCCTGAATTCTACCTTTGTTCAAGATCGATGCAGGGCCATTTTTAGTTTTTTACGCGTTTACTACTTTACATAATACTAGTTGAGAAATCAGGGTCCAAGTGTAAATTCCATGGGTATATGTGTTGTCTACAAATCACATCGTATATTCAATCAACAACCACGACAAAGCTTGCAAATCGTTTTCCTGGGAATTTTCACGACAGAGAAAGCACCCGGTGCCCATTATACAATGAGTCGCATATGCAGCATTAGCGATTGCCATGTGTCGTTGCGCACTAGAAAGGAATCCAAATTGCGGAGGTTTTATGCGAATCGCTGGCGGCCAACGAGGCTGAGCAAGAAGCTGTTATGTTGTTCTTCTTCTTCACCGGCTTGGTGGACATGTTTGGATCGGAGATTATTTGAAATAATTTTTTTTTAAAAATATTGATATATATGAAATAAAAAAATGATTGAAAAATATATTAATGATACAAGTAAATCATTAATTAATGTGTGTAAATAAGATGCAAGCAATCCCGGAGACTGCCTGCGTGTCGAAACAATGAATAGACACGTAAACTGCTGTCAAATCTGGCTACGACTTTAGTCGTGTAGAAGCACTTCCAACGCGCCTGACTTTGAAGTGGGGCGCCCGATTAGAATAGAAGCTCTTCGTCTCTAGTGTTAATCACAGCCCGCACATCCTCACTAGTGTTACTACGATGCTTATTTACAATTCATTCGTTCCTATAAAATTAAAAAGATTATACGAGTAAATTAACCATTGTAGATTAAATTATACGTATAAAGGAAAGTTCAAATCAATTACAATTAAATTAGGTACTACAAACAATTAAACAAAAAATTAACTGTTTTCTATGTTACACATGCTAGATACTATTTCATACGCAGAGATATCTCAATTATTGTAGACAATTGTGAATTGATGAGTTGTAATATGTTAAATTTCAAATGAAATTTTATGGCATTATTTGATCATATTTTACGCTTTGCTAAAATCAGCCCTTAAATTGAGCTGATTCACTGCAACCCTTTCCTATTTTCAATAGTTTAACTTTGTGTTAAAAATACTTTCTCTCCTAACATTTATTTTTTGTTGCACTTTCCCTTTTTGACTAATGGCCTACACGGACAATTTATCAAAAAAGACATTAATGACCTCAAAATAACAATCAATAGAAACAACACTCAAAAAGAAGATCCTTTTTTTTTTTTTTTTGTGGGATTCAGAAGAATGTTCTTAAAAATGGGATCCAACCACTTAAGAAAATCACATGCTTGGTGTCCAATTAATGGGTCTTTCTATCATTTTTTTTTTTCAAACAGTGGGAAGAAAAACACACACATTAATGGGTCTTTCTATCATGCTTTGTGCATTTTTGGCCCACAAACTCAATTGCATTAACAATTTACCTTACGTGTCGACTTCTTATGTCAGAAGACTTCCTACATCTACTATATTGGATAATTTAAGAAACTTCCCCTAAAGTTTCTGATTATTTCAGGAAGCTCCTCTCTAGTTTAAAAAATTATACTTGCCTCTCCTATAATTAGCATTTCAGTAACAATATAGATCTAATATGTTAAATTTGTCTTCAAAAATTCTAAAATACCTCTTCATTACTTAAAAAGGTGAAAAACTCACTAATAAACTTCTTCTACGTTGTAACTATTGTAAACAACATAACCATCATTCTAACGAACTCAATAAATCAATTTAACTTAATATCTATATTCTCACAAATTTGACAGTTTACTGCTGTCGCCCCAGAGTTCCCTATGCAAATCAACTATGACAATTAAAGTTTGCATTCAACCTAACCTTTATCCCATTTTTTCTACTTAAATTCAGTGTTTGAATTGACCAATGTCGCTTTTCAAATTCAATCTAAATGGCCGCAATATTGTTGATGCTAAAATAATCTCACCCACTAAGAATACCAACGTGAAGCAACCAAAAACAACACTAGAAACCACTTCTCATGTCTCTAGGCAAATCTAATTGCAATTTTTATATTCCAAAATTCTTTTTTATCCAACTGGTATAATAACGTAACCTTTCTCAATTTATGTTCCCTTTTTAGCTATCACTTTTGTTTTCTCATATGTACTATGTATTACCGCCATCTTTTTCATCTTCATTTAGTATGACAACAAATATAATTCGGCAACTTGTCATTTGGCAATTTCAATTCAATAATACTTACAAAAAAAGGAAAACAGAAAAAAGGAGAGAGGATCTATTTCCATAATAATGAGGATTCGAGATATATTAAATAATTATGTAGATGGCAATTGTAAAAAAATAATGGATTATGAGATGTAGGAAGAAAATGGTAGGAGAGGTAGTCGAAAAGAAAGAATAAGAGTTTATTTTATGTGGTAGCTGTTGTTTTAGAATGAAAAACTAATTATAGTTGTAGGTTTTTTTTCGTAGCAATTATTTTTAAATGAAGGATATTATAGTTAGTTTACTACATGAAGGGAGGTTAATGTAATTATTCAAACCTAAAAGGAGGTGAGTGACATTGTTAGAAATCTCAGGGAGGTTTTTGAAATTATCCCCTACTATATATAGGTGCTGTCGGACGATACCTACAAACGAATCCGTTCTTCGCCAATTGCATTTAGCTGTAAGTACAGTAGTCTACAGCAGAAGTGGCCGATGGGTCCCCGCCCCATCTCCATGGTCCATATGCGACGGTGTCTGATTCAACCAACCTGCGTCTCAGGTTCCCTGTTATCCAATTCTTTTCAGTGTTCTAGAAAGAAAAAGATAACAAGAACGTTCAATTAATTTAATAGAACATTTTTTTGTCTTCAAAATGTGCCGTATTTAAGCACAGAAACATGAATAGCACAAACTTCTCTTTTTTTCTTTTCTTTTGTTTCCAATTTGCACGTCGTTTAAGTTGGAGATTGGAATCGCGTGCAAAGCTGTCTCCAAATTCTTTGTCAAGCACTAAGCAGTCAGTCCTAATCACGTGTGTTGACTCGCGTTGGGCATTGACACGTTTCACCACTCAACTCGTTTTACTGTTGAGTCAAATGGATCATGTGTCCTCTTCCTAGACGTTCGACAGCCAGCAACTATGCATCGAGCACCAAATAGCTGTACAGAAGTGTGATTTTCAAAATGCATCTCCGAAATTCTCTTCCTCGGTCGAAGGTAGTTACTATTTGCAACCTTTACTTGTATCTCGCAATGCTTGTACTTATATTATTCTCCCGTACAACTGTCAGTAAAAAAGGGCGGACATGAGTTCAATTCATTTGCTGGTGAGTGATGACACGTAAAGGTCTAGTTTGTCAGCTCAGGAGAGAGAAAAAGGAATTGAGTGAAATTTTTAGTGGAATGAAATAGTAGTTTGCCCAAATATCAAAAGTCCTTTGGGCTTGTAAAAAAAAAAAAAAAAAAATAGTAGTTTGCCGGGGTCGACTTGGCTGGTGCTGGGGTTGATTCATTAGGTCCTGGCATTGTGTGATCGCGTTTCGATCCTTTCTACCGTCTTGCGTATTTTGGAGA